TCCGCCCCATCTTCAACAACCGTGGCGACTTCCGGGGCTACTGCTATGTGGAGTTTAAGGACGAGAAGTCGGCCCTTCAGGCCCTGGAGCTGGATCGGAAAAGTGTGGAAGGGCGGCCGATGTTTGTTTCCCCCTGTGTGGATAAGAGCAAAAATCCTGATTTTAAGGTATGTCATGGGGCAAGGCCTGCCTTTCTTGGGGCTGGAAGAAGCTGCTGCTCACAGCGCTTCCCCTGCAGCACCCAGATTCACGCAGGGCACAGCTTGGAGCTGCACTTGCCTCTGAGCCCAGGTTTAACTCATGGCTCTGCCCTTCGAGGTCGCACTGGCTAAGTACTGATAATAAAGCTAGGAATTGTAATGACGGTTACTTCCTATGGACTATTAGGTAGGAAGAAACACACTCATGATAAATGTGTTACATTTGGCCTGAGTGACTCCTTGCCAGAATTCTCTGAATGAATGAATCCCCTGGTACTGGAGACTGAACCCAAGGCCTTTGCACTGAGCTACTTCCCCAGGCTTTTAAATTTTTACTTTGAGACAGGGTCACATTAAATTGCCCAGGGTGGGCTCAGACTGGCCTCAGCCTCCCAGAGTCCTGGAATTACAGGAATGTACCTCCACACCTGGCTTCTCATGTCTGCTTTAATCTTTGCCATTTCAAGGGCCTGGACAGGCTAAATGATTTGCCCATGCGATTGGCTAACAGATGTCAGGGCCCAGGCATGGCCATGGCTGCCCAGCGAGGTGAGTCCAAATGGTGGGTTCCTGCCTCTCCTGCAGGTGTTCCGGTACAGCACCGCTCTGGAGAAGCACAAGCTGTTCATCTCGGGCTTGCCCTTCTCCTGTACAAAGGAGGAGCTAGAGGACATCTGCAAGGCGCATGGCACTGTGAAGGACCTCAGGCTGGTCACCAACCGGGCTGGCAAACCAAAGGTCAGCACTTGCTGGGTCTCCTGAGGGCCCAGGCGGAGGGGTCGTTTCTATGTTGTTCAGGGATTATTTCCTGCTAGGGTGGGTTCCAAGTTTTCTAAGAAACCAATGGTAATTAGTGGAAAAATAAGCACATTGTTCCACTTCCATTTTGAATCAGGTTTATCTTTTGTAGCTAATTGTACTAAAAAAGAATAAGGTGTTTGGAAAGTTGCCAACATTTACAGGGACCACAGTGTGGCTTCCTGATGGTCAGCACTGTGGCCAGAGGTGGGGGGCATTTGGGGTTGCCCTGCACTGCAGTCATTTTTACTGTCCCCAGACTCCTCCTTGCTAGGCTTGTAGCCTGTTTCCTAAGGTCCCTCTACCTGATTCCTCCTTCTCAAATCCCCCCTCCCCAATGTCCTGTTAAATCCTTTTTGTACCACATTGTTTTATATTAGCTTTGAAGCAGGGCTCACTCTTGCCTAGGCTGACCGCAGACAGTGCTGCCTTGGCCTCTGAGCGGCTGGGACTGTAGTTATGCCCACTGTGTCTGGCTTTATTGTTACGTTTTGAGTAGTGCCTGTCACCCTGTTCTTCACATAGGTTGATGGCGAGTTGAAGAGTGTAAAGCAGGGGCCAAAGGGACAGGAGACATTGGGCCTCCCAGGCCACTTACCTTCTTTGCAGGCCACCACCTAAGGTGTTGCTGCATGCAGATGGGTCTTCCATCTCGCTCTTTCCCTGGAGCAGACACAGGCTGCTGACCTAGAAGGGTTTGGGATGTTAGAAACAGCCTTAGGGAACAGGGAGTAAACCTGTTTAAGCAGAGCGTGGCAGTGGTAGGCCGGTCACTGGGTGGTGGGTGCCAGGTTGGCTGCTTTCCGAGAAGCTGGGCCTCCTGCCCTGTGTGAGGAGGTGACATCCTGGCTGGGGCTACAGCGTGAGTGGCTCTGGATCTCCCTCTCAGGGCCTGGCCTATGTGGAGTACGAAAATGAATCCCAGGCATCACAGGCTGTGATAAAGATGGACGGCATGACTATTAAGGAGAATGTCATCAAAGTGGCAATCAGCAATCCCCCACAGAGGAAAGTCCCAGAGAAGCCAGAGGCCAGGAAAGCACCAGGTGGACTCATGGTGCCGAGACAGATGTATGGAGCGTAAGTATTTGCGTGCCAGTCTTGGGCCAGCCCTGGCTGTGGAGGGGTTGTCCAGGGCGGAGTAGTTTCCCGGCGGGGCTGTGAGTGAGGACAGGAAAGCTGCACCTCACGTGACGTCTGTCCACGATCCTGGGGCCCAGAACAAGTCCAGGAGGGCGGACGCCAGTTTACACTTGTCATTTACATAAGGGAACTTTTTACAGGCAGTAATTACTTTAAATTCTTCTTGGCTGATTAATCTGTGTGTTTAGTGTAAAACCTGACAATTGCACGTTTGGCATGCTATAGCTGGAGCTGTAATCCCTATGAAGCCTTTGCGTTTCACTTGATAGGATGAGAAGAAAGTGCATGGTCACTTGGGGCGGAAAGATGCCAGCCTTTGTTGCCCACACTCTGTGTGACTGTTGCACCGGGTTGGTCCATGCCAAGACAGTGAACCAGGCAAAGTTCGCTGAAGTGTTTCTCACTTGCTAGCTGGGGCCAAGGACAGAGGGACTGTCTCAGTGCTTGTGGCTTTTATTCTTCATCTCTCAACTTGGGATAATTTGAAACTGCCTTGGCTCATTTTCACAGTGAAGCCGCGGCCACCAGTGCTTGCTGGGAAAGGTACTTTCAGTGTTTGCTGTTTTCCAGGCGCGGGAAGGGGAGGACCCAGCTCTCTCTGCTGCCTCGAGCCCTGCAACGCCCTGCCACTGGCTCTGCACAGGCGGAGAACGGCCCTGCCTCACACCCAGCAGCCACTTCTGCAGCCAGTGAGGCGCCCAAGATGTCCAATGCTGACTTTGCCAAGTTGCTTCTGAAAAAGTGAATGGCACGGTGGGACAGGAAATGCCTTACTTCATGCTGGGCAGGCAGGCCACCCACTACCCAGCTGCACTCTGGGGGCAGAAGGGCTGGTACAGCATCTGAAGGCTCCTAGGGACTCTCCTGTGGCTCAGACAGAAGAGGCAGAGAGAGAGAAGCCTGTTCAAGGACAGAGAAGTTGAGTGCTCCCTCACATTGAGGGCAGGTGGAGAGGGTGCGTGCTCCCCAGGCTGGCCCAGGTGGCTGTGTCTCGAAGAGGAGCAGAAGTGACCCTGGAACACGGCTTCTGAGATGCACTTGTTCCGACGCTTCCAGCCCTTTTTATAAGACACTTCTTCTCTCACACCCTGCGCAGCACCTGTGCCCGTCACTTTTAATTTTTAAAAGACAAAAAAGATGAGATAGCAGATGCTAGTGACTCACCAGAATGGCCTCATTTGTTTGGGGAGGTCACATTAAAAAAAAAATCAGTGGATTTTTGTTCAAGGAAGTTGTGCGTGTTTTCTATTATGTATTTGTAAATGACACATCTGCGCTTGTTTTATGTTTCTTACAAGCAGGACGTTTGACGACACTTGTTTTCTGTAGGACTTGGGCGTCCCTGGCTGTGGACCGCTCTCTTTCCTAGTGATTAGTGATCTGTGTTCTTTGTCCAAATGTTGAGTTTCTGCCTTTTGGTTTTGTTTAAATGCCATGTCAACTGCAAACTTTAGTTCTCAAAATATTTAGCTTCGTTTATTAAACTCAAGTTCTCTTAGAAACGTCTTGCCCTGTGGTACTCAGGCATTCACAAGTGGGTGTATTTTGAAATGGGTGTATTTGGTTTACCTAACAGTCGTGTAAATAGAAGTTTTGTAAGTCAAATCCTGTGTCACTTTGGTTTAAATGATTTCATTAGTGATGCGCCGTCAGCTTTAAACTTGAATTTACAGCAGCTGACACTTCAGCTTTTTAAGCTTTTTTTTACCTCTTTGATCACATATTTGTTGCTTTGAAAGCAGCACTGCCAGGTCAGTAGGGAAACTATAAAGACACTTCACAGAAAAACATCAGGGAATCTTTTTATGTCATGGAAATTATCTCATTTGTCTATGTTGTAAGCTTCAGTTTCTTTGCATCAGTCAGCTTCCTAAATTTTTAACTATTTTCTAATGGAAAAGTTTACATACATAACAAAGTAGACACAACCATAAAATAAGCTTGTGCGTGCCTGTCACCGAGCCTTGGCCACCTCACTCCTGGCCACCTCACTGTTTCTGCCCGCCCGTCTCCTTCCCGTTAGGGCATGAAGCATGTGTCCCCAGGAGGTAAGGACTGCAGGCTGTGGGGTGTAGGCCCGTCAGCAGTAGACCTCCCCATCTTCAGCTCCTCAAGTCTGATTCGCTGTGCTCTGATAAATGCCAGTTTACCTTCCCTCTCAATGATCACTGTTTCTAACTTTAACATGTAGGTTCCTTTCCTCCATCTCTCTTTATCATACAGCATTTTTTTAGGCCTTACTGTTGGATTATGCCTTGGCAGTGACTGTTGGCAAGGTCCCTCTGCGGCCCCGGTGGCCCTAGCTGGGTCTCTGGGGGCCACTCCGAAGCCTGTTCTGTTGGCTGCTGATTGGGTGGCTTGGAGGGTGCCTGTGGCCTGTGCACAGCCCGTCCCTGAAGGGCTGTATTTCCCCAGTGCAGTTTTGTAGCTTTCCTTTCCTACACCCCGGAACTCTCTTTTCGTTGAATTTTTGGCCAGTGACTATGTCCTCAGTGTGGGCTTGTGACAAAGGCGAGGCTTTTCAGACTCGAGCAGGACCCTAAATTTAGGTATAAGGTTCTGACTTCCATACGTGTGGTTTTAGTTTTTTTTTTTTTTTCCGCAGAAAATCAAGAGCTTATGATTAACATGAAAACACTTTGTTTGCATCTTTGTAAGAAAAAAAAAAAATCAGTAATTCATCCCCATTAACTTCGGCCAGCAGGTCAGGCAGCTATATCTGTCCTGCTTGTCGTGATTATCTTGGGTCTGTTGTTCCTCTGAACTCTATGCAGTAGGGTGCGTGACAGTTCAAAATTTCCCTGTAACTCGTGACAAATGGAAACACCTCTTGAATAAGAGACCAAAATCTCAAACATCTTTGTGATAAAATGCTTTATTAGAATCAGTAATTTGTTAAAATAATACCCTTCATGTACAGCTAAAGTGCAGATTCTCTCACCAGTGGACAAAGTGAGCAGGCCTGTCGGCCGTCCTTGCTCTGCTTCAGAACCAGGACAGCAGAAGAGCTTGGGTTTAAGACGCTTCACGGCGGCAGCTACTGTAAGAACACTTTTTTTAATTTAAGTCCAGGTTTCAGTAACTATCCTTGGAGCTGTTCCAGACAACTTTTCACTTATTTTTCTTAATCTTTCAGAAAGTGACTCTGAATTTACCATTTAAATAACTGTAAATACATTTGAGTAGAGACTTGATGGCCATCAGGAACTGTATGCAAAAATCAAAATCACCACTGTGTATACACCATCATTCAGACATCGCCAAGGGGCTGTTCAGGGTTCAGCCTTGCAGGCTGTGTCACTGGGAAAGGGACCTAGTGACCTGCGGCCTGCCTGACGCTGAATAGCAGCAGCAGCAGTTGAATTGGCCCTTGTGCCATACATGATTGAAAGATCTGACCACTTAGAAACCGGGCCATATTATATATGACGTTTTGTCATTCTACAAGTTGCTAAAAAATAAGGCCACTCAGACAATCTTGCCTCCCCAAGGGGGACGCTGAACTGTGTAAAGCTGCTCTTGCAGTGGGCAGTGAGTGGATGCAGCTGAACTGTAAAAGGGACAGGCTGGCGGCGGTCAGAGGTTTTACTTGGTTCTGTTCGTCATCGGGAAATGCCTGTGGGGTGATGAGGCATCGTTCCCAGCTGATCCACCCATAGAGAACAGTGGGAGCTGAGGGCAGACGGCCCTCACAGCGTGATGTAGGTGTTGAGTGATGAACCCAGAGAACTTTTAGATCAGCGGTGGTGAACCCATGGCACGCATGCCGCAGTGGGCTGTTACTGAAAGCGCCAAAAGGTTCGCCATCACTGTTCTAGAGGCAAACATCTGGTCTGCATTGCTGCGTATGACGTGCAAGGACGACACTGCTACACAGAGCAAACCGAGCTGGCTGCGGTCCTCGCCTTAATTAGAAAAACAGTCTCATGAAAAGACACCCTCGGGCACTCGAGCCTGCAAGGTAGGGTTCAAGGGCAGTCTGGAGATAAGGTCATGTCAGAGCTTGAAAATGCGCGATACCAGTAAAAGCCACCACACTAATTCAGTGGTAGGGGTGCAAAGACCTGAGCCGGCAGCTTGCAGTCATTCCCAGACTGCAGTTTCCCCAGAGGTGGTGGCTTCCCAGTACAGTGGCACCACGAAGACCTGAGTAACTTTCAGTGGCCCTGGGCTTCATCCCACTGCTCTGGTCTTTTTTCCCCCATCTTGGTGCAAATTCTGCTCCAGAACCTCGGTTCTGGTCTCATAGGAGCACTGGTGCCCCTAAAGTGCGGGGCTGCCACTCACACAGCGGCCACCCGTACTGCCACAGTGGACACACTATGTAACTTGCTCAAAAGAAAATAAATATCTTTGCTAGATTATAAGTTAGATACAAGGCTTAATAATTTAGTTTTTTTCTTTTTAACTAAAAGTTTTTTTGGAGGTAAAGAATGTTTAAAGGTTTCCTTTTGCTTTTGGAGATGATTAGCTTCCTAGCATGGTTAAGTTTCTTTGATCCCATCCCCCTGGCTGCCCTTGCTGCACAGAGATGGACAGGGCTAAGGTTTCACCGGAAGTGTCTCCTTGAACTCAGAATGGTTGGGGTTGGCTTCCGGCAGTGCCACCGAGTACTCAGTCGTGGCAAAAAGCAGGGTGTCCAGAGTGGTCTCGGTGCACTTGGCGATGAAGCGGATGAAAGGCCTCACGTCACCCTCGTTGGCGACCTCCAGCACGTGGTAATACTCAGCCCTCTGCTCCTTGCGGATGGTGATGGGCGGGTAGCCTGCCTGCATCAGGATGAGGTTCATGAGCAGGCGTGAGGTCCTCCCATTGCCGTCGATGAAAGGGTGGATGTAGACGAGTTTGTAATGCGCTAGGGCCGCAAACTCCACCGGGTGCAGGTTCATGGCGTCCTCAGAGTTGAGCCACTGTATGAACTCCTGCATCTGCTTCTCCACGTCTTGGGGATGGGGAGGGACGTGGTGTCCCACCAGGACCTGGGTCGTGCGAAACCTGCCAGCTTCCACTGGATCCACGTAGCCCAGCACCCGCCTGTGGATCTCCATCACGTCGTCGATGGTGACGGAGCCTACTCGTGAGACCAGGGTGGTGTTGACGTACTTCATGGCTGCGTGCATGCCAAGGACCTCGTTCTGTTCCTCCAGGCTCTTCCCCGGCACGGCATAGCGCGTCTCCAGGATGTGCCTGATCTCGGACAGCGTGAGGGTGTTGCCCTCGATGGCCACCGTGTGGTAGATGTGGTGGTAGTAGGTCTCCTCCATGACGCGGCGCAGCGCCGAGTTCCCCTTGGGGATGGACATCACCTTCCTCACCTTGCTGTCGATGATGCTGAAGTACCTCTGGTCGATCTCCTCCACGAGCGGCAGCGTCCGGTCCCGGTTGACCAGGGCTTTCTCATGGAAGGGCGAGATGGTCAGCGCTCTGGTGTACAGGTAATCTGCCTGGATGATGTCCTTGTCTTCTTCGGAGAAGATGCCAAACTCATTGAGCGCGTCCACGTAGTCCGGGTCCATCTTGAGCGCGTACAGGAAGAGCTTGTGGGCTTTCTCCCGCTTGCCCTGGCGCTTCATTTCCAGGGCTTGGTTCAGCGCTGCTCTGGCTTCCAGCTTGCCTGCTAGAGCGGTGACAAAGGACATTCAGGGTGCTGTCTAGGACGAGCCCACCCCCCTCAGCCACGCTGTGCTCACACCGTGACTGGTGCCTCTCTGCCCTGCAGCCCTGTGGTGTGGAACGCCGGTCCCCTTCTTTGTGTCCCAGGCTACTCTGTACCCTTGCCACTCAGGAAGGCCGACATTCCCTGTCCCTGTGCCTTCCCGACTGTGCTGCTGTCATGGGTGGCCTGCCTTGCTGGTCGCACCGGTGCCCCCTGCTTGTGCTGGTACTGTGACTTTTAACCCAGTGGTTCAATGTTGCCACCAGGGGACATCTAGCCATGTCTGCACCTGTGTCTGCTGTCACAAGTGGGGGACGCATGCGCCACTGGGATTGCGGCTGCTGCTCCCCATCTTGCTGTGCACATGAGTGGCTCCAGAGGAGGTGGCAGGTCCTGCACTGGGTCCAGCCCTCTTGTCCCAGCCCCATTCTCCTGGCAGCCACATACACCCAACTCTTGAGTTCCACAGCGTCCCCAGACCCTCCCTCCCCTTCCTCTCCTGCCCTTCTCCCTGGGTCACACCTGCTTACAATCAGGGCTCAGCTTGGTGGCGTGTTCCTGCAGTGCTCTGCTTTCCTGTCACACCTGTGACACTGTCTGGTCACCTGCCGGCCTGTGTAGACGGACCTCAGGGCTGACTTTTCACCACTGTACCCCCAGGACAAAGCAGGCCAGACATCCGTCCAGTCAGCGAGCAGCGAGGAGGAGGCCAGCCTGTCTTACCTGGAGATGCCTTGGTCTTGACCACCAGCAGCCCAGCGTCCCTGGAGGTGACGCTGAGCTCCGTGGAGGGGCTGGTGCGCCTGGTGACAGCATGCTGTGCTCTGTCTAGTTGGCTCCTGAGCAGGTAGAAGCCTTTGAGTATGGCCAAACACTGTTCCTCCACGGCTCCCAGTGGCAGCAGCAGGGCCAGCAGCGACCCCATGGCCATGCTCACCAGCATCAGCCACAAGAAGCGGCCCCAGACCGAGACCCATTTCGGTTCAGTCACTGCCATCACCGAAGCCACTGGCACGAACATCATCTGGACTCGGGGCTGGGCCCTGCACACATGTCCACATTTAGCTGAGGAAGACAGGACCCGAAGGAAGAAAGAACGTTGCGGTTCAGGCAGGGAAGAGGACACCCTCCCCAGCCTTAATCAGCAGGGACCAGGCAGTAGGGAAGACAAGGAGTGGCCAGCCTGGAGGGCCCCAGGCCCCTTGCACAGCAGCTACTTGTTATGCCATCAGGGCTGCCCAGGATTTATTGAGCACTTACTGCATGTGAGGCCCCACACTGAACATCCCACACGTGTGATCTTTAACAGCTGCCTGAGCTGATGTTTTCATTCCACTATGCCAGCGGGGAAACTGAGGCTCACAAAAGTGAAGTCCCTTGCCAAAGTCACCAGAAAGGAGGAAATTCTTAAGACCTGAACTCAGGAACCCCACGGCACTCTAAAGCACATTCCTTCACCAGAAATCCCTGTGGCCTGTGAACACCTGGTGTTTGGGACATAAAATAGTAACACAAACACTCTCCCTTGGGGGACTCGGGGTCTGAGGCCCACCCTTTGATAAGAACAAGTGCTCAGCTGCCAGTTACAACTGCAAGGTGGCTGCCTGCTCCGCCCTCACCGTGGTAAGGCTGCTCACTGTGGCCTTCTGGCCAGGGACCTTGATAAGAGGTTAGGCAGCCAAGCATCTCCAAAGGAAGTCAGGGCCTGGCCAGAGTGGGCGGCTGCTCCACGTCAGTGTCAGTGTCCATGTGCTGGGGCTGCCTGTGGGAGTGCAGAGCCGGCTGTGTGAGCACCGTGATGCCAACAATAAGCATTTATTGGGCACCTGTGGTGTGCTGGGCACTGAGCTGGTGCTAGTCTCACAGTAACTCATTTAATCCTCACACCACCCTACGAAGGAAAAACTACTTATGGTCCTGTTTTATAGTTCTACTTATAGTTCTGATGAGGGAAACCGAGGCACTGGCAGGGAAGATTAAATTCCAGAAGGCCCACAGCTGATAAAAGCAAGGAATCTGAAACCAGAGACAGGAGGTCTAAATCTATCTTGATAATTACTAAATGGGGCTGTGCACCTGCTCTGGGTTGCTGTAGTCCAAAAATGCTTGACTAATGACAGGGCTCGAAAGCGAGCCCGGCCGGTGGCCACAGGACATTTGAAATGGTTTGGTAAGCTGTGGGAGTACAGGTGGCCTGGGGGCTTCCTGAAGAACAGGATGCTCGAGCGAGCTGTAAAGGCAAGGACTTGGCCGGTGCCAGGCAAGTGAGCTCCGGAAGGTGCCAATCTCTCACCCTTCACTTTCCCAGAAGGGGGTAAACCGAGGCCCCGGAGAGGCAAAAGGACCGCTCTAAGGTCAATCGGCAGAACCGGCTCTTTCCGAACCCCTCCCAGGGCTCGCAGTCCCGCCGCACCCTCTAGAGCCCCTCGGGTTCGCTCCCTCCTCACCGCGCGGATGCCGGATCTTCCCGCCACCTTCTAGGCGCTGGCCGACTTTGTGGCGGCAGCCTCCCGGGACCACCGCCTCCTGTCTGCCTCCTGGCTCCGCCCTCCAAGACTCTCTATTGGACGGTGCAACATCATTTTCGCAGCGAATTGGCTGTTTTGACCTGTCAGTCACTTTCATTTCCGGGTTCCCGCGTTGACCTCAGTTACCTCGAGGTAGCCGCGCCGTGGGTCACTCTCATTGGCTGTCTCTTGTGTCGGTCTCTTAGCTACCACAGCCAATAAGTAACGGAGGGGCGGGGCCTAGGTTACAAGTGGGAGGAGTGCGTTCGGAAAACTGGGTGTGTATGCTGAATTAGGGGTGGGAGGTATAATATCGCACCTCCAAACAACAGAACTGCTACGTCAGGTCTGCTGGTCCCGGGACTGCTTTCGTGTGCCTCAGTTTCTCCGGGTGTAAAACGAGGACCCTGGTCTCCACCTCGCCCCTATTTGGTCTTGACGTCGTAGTCTTGGTTTTAGAATCTATCCTATCCTGTCAGGTTCGCTCCGTCTTTCCCTTTCTCTCCCCGTCTGTTTCATGTGCTCCACTGCATATGTATCTTTTTTCCTTTTTGCAGTACTGAGGATTGAACTGGGCCTTTCCAGTAAGCTACTAGCCCTATTATTATTGTTATTATTAATTATTATTACGTTTTGAGACAGGGTCTTAATAAGTTGCCTAGGTTGGGCTCCGACTTGTGATCCTCTTGCCTCTAAACTTGAACTTGAGATGCACCTGCCTCTGACTCCCAAAGTGCTGGACCACAGCATGAGGCGCCTCGCCTGCCAATTCGTGTCCTCTTGAGAAGGACGTGGCTGGTTCTCTTGGTTTCCAGAGAGAAGGCTTTTTCTTGAACCAGAGTTAAAACCTCCATCTTAAGCCACAAGTATGTAATGAAACATGTAGAGACACACTCCGGAAATGCTAAGTCTGTTAAAATATTAGAACAGATTCCAGGGTCAGAATCTGAGCTTGGATTCGGATTCTGCCATTTGCACTCTGTTCTCAAGCTAGTTACTCTGGCCCTGTTACTACATCAGCTTTTGTCTTCAAGTTTGGGATTTGCAGAGGGCCTAATGCCTTTGGATGTGACCTTAACACATGGAGCCTCACAGCCTGGGTTCACATCCCGGGTTCCACACTTGCTGACAGTTACATTTAGCAGGTGATCCAGCCTTACTTGGTTTTCTGTAAACTGGGGATAATGTGATCTCAGCGCCTCTTTGCAGGAGTTTGTGTGAGTCTGCATCTGGCCCAGAGTGCATGTTTGAGGAGTGTCACCTGCTGCAGTTATTTCTAGATGAGGCCAACTCATTGCTGCTTTATTTCTCCTTTGCAGAAGAAAGCACTAGAGCTCCCAGGTGGCTCCGATCACTGGGGAGAGACCCCCCACATCCTGCATGGGTCTCATCCTGATTCTAGTTCAGTGAAGCACAAGATGCAGTGTCTGGGCCAGGCTGGAGTCAGAGGCATGCCGTCCTGAAGAACACTGAGGAGCCCTTCAAAGTGAGGGAGGACACAACTCCCACTCCTGCCTGTTGGGTGCCCTTGAGACTGGGCTCATTTCCCTCAGCACCCAGCAGAGAACATGCCTTGCTCAAGGAATTTCGTTTGACTTGAATTTGAAACACAGAATGCAGGACAAGCTTTAGAGTTCTTAAGAAATAACATCAGGGTGGTAGCTATCTTGATGGCTTGTTTTGCATTGTTTGAACAAAGATCTTGTGCATGGTTGCTCTGGAGTCGTCTGAATTTCACGTTTGATGGTTCCCAGTGTAAACTCTTTAAGGAGCTTGGGCCGCTGGTAGCAAATCCAGAAGCTACAAAGGAACTGCTCATAAGCAGGGACAGGAGGTAGCGCAGTGAATTTGAGGATGCAGCCCTGTCCAAGGTGGACAGCAGCGTCTCTGCTTTAGCCCACAGTTCTAATGCTGGGTTGCAGCCCCATCTGGAGTGGACAGCTTTTTCCTGTTTTTCAAAAGAAAGTCCAGGCTTGGATTTTTTTTAGAAGAATCTTCAGATTTTTAAACAGTGGGCATATCTGCCTGCTGGCTTTGGGGCTGCCAGATTGCCAACCCTGTTTCAGGCTTTTAAAATGGGTGGCGATCATACAGGAAAAAACACAGATGATCGCAGCCACGGGTCGCGCTACTGTTTCTGGACACCAGAGGGCGCTAATTCTCCTGGCTTCGCATCTCTCCTCCAATCGCCTTCTCAGAGACTACATTCAATTTTTTTTCTTGACTTTGTCTGCATTCAGCTGTGTTAAATGCACAAAATATGGTCCCTGAAGCGATATTGAAAAGTTGGCTTTCTCCATCTTAAGCATTCTGTATTGGCAGGAATTTACCTACCTGTGGTCTATGGAGGAGTTTTCTAAAAGCTTACCTTGACACATGACAAAGAACCTAGAAAGTGGCTGCGTGGGAAATGTGTCCATTATGCAAAACAAAACACAGCACAGCAACTTTCCGCAGCTTCAAGAAACCATAGTCAAGCTCTTCTTGCACGCAGAGGCGAATGCTATGGCTTAGCAGAAACCAAATTCCCCAGCATGGGGCGGAATTTTCTGGGGTTGGCTTCAGAATGTTGCAACTTCATTAAAAATAAACCACGCCTGTGCCTTCGGTCCTCTCTCATACCCCAGCCGGCCGGAATCTTTTTCCTCCTTTCATTTTAATCCTGCTGTGGAAGAAAAGACACCCCCCATCTCTGCTTGACAGATTCTCCTTGTATCTATCGGCATCCCACCCAGTTTCTGAGGCATCCTAAGGGACAGGGTCTTGGGGCCCCCAATGAACACCCCTGGTCTCATGGCTTTTGCACTGGCCTCAGAATGCTTTGTATTGAATTCATTTTAACTAGGATTTGCAAACACAGAGAAGCAAATAACTTGTTTTTAGAGCAGGTCATTTGGGGAAACAGTACTTCCAGAAAAAAGATGCATAAATACTTTTTTGTTCTTAAATAACCTACTTTATTTCTTAACAGCAAGATGAGATTATAGATATACAAGGAGGTGCATGCACACATGCACACACACACACACACACACACACACACACACACACTCTTAATGAGAAGAAAGAATCCCAATCTATGATTCTTCCAGAAGTTTTATCTTCTCTCTCCCTCCCTTCCCCCTGTTGTGGTGCTGGGAATGGAACCCATAGCCCCAATATGCCCTATATTCTATGTGTCCATCTGTATGTATACTCTGTGTACTCCATGAATACTCTTTATCTCCATCTGTATCCTGTGTGTATATCCCACATATCCTTCTGCATTTTTTGGTTTAGAACTATATTTTATAGGTTTATGTGCATGTTGATACACAGAATGCCTATTTTACACTGCTGTGTAGTATTTCATTTGCAGTTAATTTCCTGCTTAGTTGGTGGTTGGCATTTGGATGATTTCTTATCTTTTTCTATTACAAGCAGCATTATAGTGCGCAGCTGGATAATTTTAAGGCACATATGTGGAAGTTTTTCTAGGACAGATTATCTCAAAGGATTATCTGGAGATTTTAAAAAAGACCCACATACCTAGGCTTTGATCTAGACTAATGGAACCCTCTCTGATCCTCCTGTGTCTGAGTATACATAGAAATCACCATATCCCTATCCTATGTCATTATTGACCATTTATTGTGTGCTAAGTCATTGATAGATATAACTGTATTGATTTTTTGGTAACAGTGCTGGAAGTAGATATTATTAAACCTACTTCATGGAAGATGATACTGAGGTTCAGAGAAATTAGGTAAATAATTTGCGGTCACACAGCAAGCCAGTGGGTGGAGTTGTCAATTCACAACCAGTCTTCCTGATTCAAGACTAAAAGTCTTAACCATCATTAAACCCTAAGATTATAGAGTTAGCAGATTATATTTTTAATTTTTCAATGAAAAATAGGGAAACTAAGGCCGACAGAGGCTAAGAATTGAGCCTGGTTACAAGTATAAGTCTCTAGACTCCTTGTCCATTGACATTTTCTTATGTCATAATGCTTTGAGAGAAGGGAAAACACTAATAAGTCATTTTGTCTTCTGGAGACGATTTCTGGCCATCCTAGAATCATCGACATCACTCTGTTAGTCATCCATTGCTATGCAACAAATGATCCCAACTTTAGTGCCTTAAGACAGCAATAAACATTAGCTTACATATGTTATTTGAATCAAGAATCTAAGAGCAACATAGACAGATGGTTATAGTGTGCAATCTCTTTTAAGATTATAGTCAAGACAGTGTGTGGGCTTGTGGCATCTGAAGGCCCAGGACTGGTTCACTCCGCAGGCTGGTGGCCAGGTGACTCCGTCCCTCCCCATGGGGCGGTCCCTCCGTAGAGGCTCTTGGGTGTCCTCACAATATGGCTGCCAGCTCCTCCTAGCAAAAGTAACCTAGGAATGTTAGGTCTTCTATGATCGAGCATTGAGTCACACACTGTCACCTTTTCCCCATTCTGTTGGTGAAGTTTTAGCTTTCTGCTTGCTGGACAAAGAACCCAACAGGGCAGCTTAAAAAGAGGGCCGATTTCTTTTTGGCTCATGGCAGAACCCAGCTTTACCTGCTCCCCACGTCCTGACAGCACATTCAACAATGACCATCGGAGGGTTAATTCACTGGTATGTATCATGCCTTGTGATGCGGTCACTCTGCCAGGAGTCTCTTAAATCCAGTCAAGCTGACAATCAGGGTTGACAGGCACAGGCCACCACATGAATCAGCACTGGCACGGTGGAACAGGGGCTCCTTGAGGCTCATCAGGAGACGAGTCTGCCATCTAGAAGGCTCCTGTCCGACGCTCTGGCCCCTTCCCTTCTCAGTCCCAGGGATGGTGCCTAACTACCTGCAGCAAGGACTTCAGGCCCTCTAGGCCTCGTGTGGCTGAGTCTTCAGGGACCTCGAGGCAGGGGCCCTCTGCAGGGGAGAGGCTGCT